TGGGGGGGCACCAGGGCCAGACCAGTCCAGCCACGCCAGGCATGCTGCCACCAGCCCGCCGCACAGTGGGCCCTCGGGTGGCACTGCGGCCCTCACACCTGAGGACAGGGCTCTCCCGCCCTTGGCCTGAGAGATTCCCTCCTGGCAGATCATTCTCACGCCCACTAGAACAGTGCGTTCTGAAGAACCAAATGCTGACAACTACCCCGCCCCTCCAGGACTAGGGACACAGAGGGCGTAGAGGGCGGCCCTGTCTCGCCTTTGGGTTTGTTCCCTGAAGGGGAGAGCCTGGCCCTCTCTCTGACCTGAGTGGTCACCACTGCGGGGTCGGCCCAGGCCACAGGTGAGCACACCTTGCCCAGCAGTCATCAGGCAAACCTGCTGGTGTGTGTGAAACAAGCCATGAGTCCCCGTGTGGAGATGGCCCCTGATGGGGGCTGTCCACCAAATCAGTGGGGAGAAAACCGCGAGGGGGCAGGTTCAAGAGTGCAGGCTGGGGGCCCGGAGTCAGGGAGTAGGGCTGAAGTCACTGGGGTGAGGAGGGTCAGAGGCCTGGGGAGTGAAAGTTCAGGGGCGCGGTGAGGAAGAGCCTGGGCAAGGGAGCAAGGCGCAGGCAGACAGTGCCAGTAAGCAGCGGGCGCAGGCCACGGGCGCAGGTGCAGCTGGCAGCTGGTGCCAGGGGCTGTGCCGAGGACAGGTGAGGTTATTCCCACAGCCCGCAGGGAATCACAGGGGCTCTGGAGACAGGCTGCCGTCTCAGCAAACAGGCTGCCGCAGCGCCAGGTCAGGCCAGCTCCAGGCTGGTTTTATACTGTGTGTCCACAGTACCTGCCCAGCAAGTCCAGGGCGAAGAAATGAAGCCAGTCGGAAGAGGACCACACAGTCTACGGAGCAAACGTTCTCGTTTATTTCTTAAAGACCCACTTGGGTCAAGCATCGCGGCCTGAACGCACTGATGGGAAACCCAGGTGAGGGGAGCCCCTCAGCACACCGCCCCCCGTGGGCTCCTGCCCACAGCCTGTGTGGGGCCTGCACCAGGCTCCAAAGTGCAGCTCCAGGGCTGGGGGCCGGCACTTTGTAATTCACTCCTGTGAGGGGCGTGAGTCCAGCCACATCTCCTCATGAGCACCAGGCTCATCTTCAAGGATAAACCGCTCCAAACTGTGTCATCTGCCTGATCAGGAGCCAAAAACAAAAGTTGAGGCTCCCTCCTGGGTGCCAGGCTGGCTCAGGTGCAAACTCTGAGAAGGACCCAGGCTCAATCACTCTAATTCTCCAATGCCCACTCGGCCTCACAGAGGAAGACAGTGGGCTAAACTGTGAACCTTCTAACCCACCTGGCTCCAGCCCAAGGCTCCATAAGAAGCAAGAGTCACATTGGGCTTTTACTCCACACAAGTGTCTCCACAGGTAACTGATAGAAAAACAATAAAATAGTCTCAGGAACTGCCTGCTGGGGGTGTCTTGTCTTTGGTGGTGCTGAGAAACCAAGAGTCTGTCTCAGAGTATCTTGGCCATGCCATGGCTGCGTCCCGGCACCTAGGGTGCTGGGATGGGGCCAGGCTGCCCAGACGCAGTCCAGCCCAGGAAGGTCCAGCCCAGGGAGGAGCCAGGCCCCTACCTAGGGCTGCCTCAGGTGTGCCCACCCTTGCTCCTGGGAGGAGGCCCCAGGCCCTGAGCTTCAAGGGCCATGGGCATGTCCTTTCTGAGGACACACAAAAGGGCCTGAGGAGGCCTATGAGTGGGGGTGTGGGCATGAAGGGCCACAGGGACAGAAAGATGAAGGAGCCTCCCTCACATCCTAGAGGGAGGAGTATTTGAAAGGAATGTCCCCAGTGGCTAAGGAGGCAGACACAGGGAAGACACAGATGAGTGACTCAGTAGCTTGGCCTTTGCTTATGTCCGCAGACCAGCTGTTGGTTTCCCAGTCCTGGGCAACAGCGCTCTACCTCCCTCCCTGCAAGGCTCCTACAAGGTTTTCTCCAAGCTTCTTAAATTGCAGTCTAAAGAAAAGTGCACAAATATTAACTGTGCACCATTCCACAGGGGCTCCATCTGGGTAACCACTCCCAGGACCGAGGTATAAAACATCTCCATGCCTGGAAGTCACCCTCTCGCCTCTTCCTGTCAGTCTTCCCCCAGAGTCACCACTGCTCTGACTTCTATGACCTTGGACGAGTTCTGCCTGCTTTTGAACTTCCTTTAAAAAATCATACAGCATATGCTTTTGTGTGTGGCTTCTTTCAAAAGTTTTTCTGTGAGAGTCATCCACACTTTCCAGTGTAGTGGTTTTCTGCCCATTTTCACTGCTGGGTAGTATTCCGTTGCATGGACGTACCATGCATTATTCATCCAGATCACTGCTGGCAGACATTTGAATTGTTTCTAGCTTGCAGCCATCATAGTCAAGATTCTAGGAACACTTGCATATACCTTTGAGTACCCACGGGAGAGTCTGCCTGGGAAGAGATTTCTACTAGCTGAAATGTCTGGGGACACAGATGTTTTTACTTCTCAATGGCACCACAGTGGTTTCCACGCATTAAGTTATTTTATTTTAAGCGGCAGGATGAAAAAGACAACACTCCTGGGAACTGGAGTAAATGTACAAATAGAAGCTTACACGGTATTAGGGAAATTGTGAATCTTATAGGTGCACTACAGAGGGTGTGTGTGTGTGTGTGTGCCCGCACGTCCGCACGTGTGTGTACTTATTGTTATTGTTCTGGGAGAGTCTCAGAAGTCCTGATCAGCTTATCCAAAATAAATGTGAGAGGACCAGAAAATTTAGGGAAGGGGGAGGAAATGACAAGAGATGAGGCTGGAAAAATAGTTTAGGATCGAACTGCAAAAGGCCTTGAATGCGATGCTAAATTAAGTGGACTTTGTCCTGAAAGCAAAGGGAATCACCAGATGTGTTTAACAAACACCCACTGGCACCCACACACCGCCAGGTAGATGTGGCAAAGCTGGCTGGGTCACCTACTAAGCGGAGTTGAACTGTGGCCAGTAGGGGGCCAGGGAGTGAAGGGATAAGTGAGTGCAAACACCCTGTGTTCAAGTCCCAGCTCCACTCTCACCAGGGAAGACGCCAGTGGTCACAGGATGACACACGTGGTTGGCTCATGAATACACACGTGGACGTGCACTGATAAATGGGGCACACACAGCAAGCACTCCTGCACTCACAGTGGTGACTGGCTTCAGAAGCCATGCATTCTAAGACGCTCCCCACTCAGCAGCAGCCACATCTTACTCGCTGGAAACCTAGTGCCTCAGAGTTACAGAGGAGAGACAGGAAATCAATAGGCCTCCAATTAGCCTCAGATCATCTTCGCTTAGGGACTTGCAGTTGGATAATCTTGCCCGATACTCCAGAGTCCCAGGAAGACATTGCAAATAGTCTGGCAATGTTCCCTCCAGCTCTGTATGAGCTCTCCTCTGGGGTTGGGGAGGCAAGAGAAACAATATTTATGAGAGTCTCAGACTCATGGGTGCCAGGCACAGGTTTCCAATGAACACTGGGGAATGTCCACACGGAAGCCCTCCTTTGCTGCCCAGAGAGTGAGATGGTTCAAGCCAGGCCTGGACAGACCACTCAAACCTGACCAGAGCACTTCTCATAGCGCTGACACAGGGAATAAAAACCCTACTTGATTGTGGAGTAGCCTCTTTCTCTCTTAGAAAAGGGGGCTCCAGGTTATACCTGGTCTGGTAAAATAAACATGAGGGGAAGAAGAGGAAGTGGGCCTGGGAGAGCACGGCCTTACCTCCACGTACAGGAGGGGGAAGATTCCAATCTTGTCTCCCAGCATTCCCTCTGCCCAGTTGTCATCCACTCTTCTGATCACAGTCAGGATTTCATCCTGGGATTGCCAGAGCCCACGGTGTGTACACCACATGGACATACACACAACAAAGAAGAAAACAAGAGACCCGTTAGTGCTGCTCAAGCCAAGAAGAGATTCTAAGCAACGATTCAAAGAAGGGTTTGTTATCCATTCTGAGCGAGAGCTGACATGTGAAAACAGTCAACCCTTACATGTTCACCCAGGATCTCTCTCTCTCTCTCTCTTTTATGTAGTGATTACAGCTACAGAGTCTCAAATGTTATCCATTTACAATATGCAGGAGTCTCTCCTCATCCTTGGTTTTGCTTTCCACATTTTCAGTTACCTATGATCACTGTGGTCTGAAAATATTAAATGGAAAATTCCAGAAATAAATAATCCGTAAGATTTCAACTGCATGGCATTCTGAGTAGTACGATGAAACCTCACACCATCCCACCCAGGATGTGAATCACCCCTCGATCCAGCACAGCCACACTGTATGCACCCCCACCCCCCCATTAGTTACTTGGTAGCCACCTGGATCAGCGATTTTCAACCTTTTTCATCTCATGGCACATAAACTAATTACTAAAATTCTGTGGCACACCAAAAAATATAGTTTTTTGCTGATTTGACAAAAAATAGGTATACTTTTTATTGACATGCAAAAAATAATAATAGTAATTACCTACCCTTTTTGCTCCAAAGTGACTTTTTAAAAAATCAGGTGCCTATACTTGTATATAAGGATTTCTGATACCAAGAATTAACTAATCAAACTCAACCTTATACAACATGGCCAATAAGATGCAACTCTATTATATGACCTATATATCTATGGTTCAAGACAGGGAATTCACACTGGACAGCTGTGTTGACTGTTGTCATTTTTAAATTTGACAAGCTAAGGGAAAAGAGGTCAGTGCCCCTGACTAAATAGTCAGGTACTGCAGCTTTTAAAAATTCTTATGGTACACTGGTCTAGGTTACCAGATCAACTATTGCGGAATTACAGTGCTTGTACTCAAGTCACCCTTACTTTACTTAATAATGGCCCCAAAGCACAAGAATAGTGATGCTGGCAACTCAGGTATTACAAAGAGAAGCTGTAAACTGTGTGTATATAGAGGAAAAAACATAGTGAATATTGGGTTCTATACTATCGTGGTTCTGGGCATCCACTGGAGGTCTTAGAATGTATACACCCCACAGGTAAGAAGGGACTACTGTAGTTTTTATATTAAAATTCATGTTCCAGTTATTTAATGAAATAGAAATATTTTAAATAAATATAAATTCAGCTAAGTATAAAACTTTAAGTTTCTGGCTCCATCAAAGAACAAAAAAAAATGACCCAACTCAACTCTATTTGGAGTGATGGGTACATAAAGCTTGCAAAGGCTTTCTTAAATTCTTTGGCATGCCAGACAGAATCAACTGCAGATGCACAAAGCAGAAACAGGTAGAAAGAAAAAGGAAGAGGCTTGAGCAAGAAGGAAAGACGAGCTTTCTGGGGGGACTGCATACAAGCAGCGGTGAGGAAGGAAGTGCCCAGGATGCCTTCATGGATGCCAGCAGCTACAGAGACAAACGACAGGGGAGTGTGCAAAGCAGGGTGGGAGAGAGAAAAGATGATAGGGAAAGCAGGGAGGACACTGGGAGGAGAGAGACACCTCAGGCTGCAGCAAGTGTTAAGATGACCAGATAGGGACGCCATGGGCAAAACTGGCACCTACACAAGGGGTCTGTGACTAGTTTCTGTTCCCTCTCCAATAACCATCCTTCTTCCAGTACTCAGGGTATAAAATAGAACTCCCAAGGACTGTCTGCTTAACTATCCACCAGCCCCCCACCATGCCACATAAAGACACCCTGGTTGTTTGTTGCTCAAGAATCTGCTATAAGAGCAATTGGCCCATCTGAACTCTAATGTGCTGTTGATGACCAAGAGCAGCCTATTGGGGTAACCCCTATTGGATTTGAATGCAACATCTGCCTTTTCAATGAGACTTCGGTACTTTAACGGGAAGCAGTAATATGGGACTTGTAGGCCTCTCTCAAGGTCAGAGGGACATTTCAGGCCAGCAGACTTCATGGAATTACCACAGAAGCTCTTCACTGTAAGTGGAGGGACACAATTTTGGGCTGCTCATCTAGGGCAAGGTAGGAATGAGCTCATGGGAGCAGAATATGCCTTTCAGAGAACACAGAGAGAAAAGCAAGGGTGAGTGTTGTGCTTGGAAGTCCCTCCAAGGTCTCTTTCAAACCTCTCCTCTACTAAGAATACAGGGTAGAGTTCAGGGGCAAGCCCTTGTTTTCCCTGTCCCCATCCCCAATTCTCCACCTTTAAAAATACCACATAACAAAATGACTTGTGACTTAAGAATATTTCTTTTCTCAACCGTATCAGGCCAGAAAAATGAAATAGGTATAAGGAAATCATATTTCACATATTTTAGGATAGATGGTTCTTGGGCTACAGGATGATATTTATAAGGGTTTCCTTCTAGCAAATATGCTCAGTCATTAGATTGTGGGAGCTCTTCTAATAACTGCTAGGGCCAAAGTGGCTGGCTGGCTTGAAGACAGATGTAGAGAGAATGCCTCTAACTTCGATGCCTTCCTCACCTCACAAGTTCTCAACCAGCAGAGTCCTGAGCCTCTGATGAACTCAATTCAGATCCAGCCAATGAAGGGCCAGCAGGCTTCACTGATCATGCAAATGGAAAGGTAACTGAAGGCTTCCTACAAGTCAGAGTTTTTGCAATAACAAAATAACACAAAAAGAACATTTAATTTTGTAAAATTAAAAATTAAAAACAAAATACCAGATTCATTTTGGTTAAAAAGAGAAAACACCATAATATCCACACTATTATTTAAGGCTGGTCTAAAACTTAGAACCAAAATAATAATAGAAAATAAAACCAGAACTATAAGTATTGGAAATAAGTATGTAATTTTCTACTTGAAAAAACAGAGTATCAACTAAAAATTAGAATAAGTAAGAAATACAGAATAGCTGCTAATCTAAAAATAAATACATAAAAATCATTGATTTTTCCCATTTACCAGGAATAATCAGTTAGAAAATGGATTAAAATTGGCTAATCATTTTTAAAAAGTTAGTTCTCTAATTCATGTATATCCCAAAATTGATTCTATAAAGACTAAAGATTTAAATGGTAAAAAAATACTTGAATGTTCAAGAAGAAACTATGAATAGATGTTTAATCTTGAGTTGGGAAAGGTCTTTTGAAGTATGATAACAAAAATTTGGCTACAGAAAAATAAAATTCTCTATGTTAAAAAACAGAAAAAACAAAAAGGCAAATAAACTAGTAAAATACTTGCAGACTATAGAAGAGACAAAAACTTAATATTTTTACTATATAAAAACTGAAAGAGGCAGTAAAGGAAAAAGACAAATAACAAAAGAAAAATAGGCCAAGGGCAAAAATCAGGCAACTCGCACACAAAAAAATAGCTAATTGCCAATAAACACATTAAAAAAATCAACACTTGACTAATAATGAAAATATACAGTTTTAAACAAACAGATTACTTTTTATCTTTGTTCTTTTTGGCCTACCAAATTAGCATAGATTAATATAAAGCCAACTCACAGTGGTGTTGGCCATCATGAAAAGAAGAAGCACTTTATCATTCTTGGTGGGGATAAAAATTTATGGCAAGCAGTTAGCCAACGCCTATCAAACATCAAAGCTTGCATACCCACTGATCTAACAACAATACTTTTGGAGACTCTCCTAAAAAAATCAAAGATATGCAAAGAGATTTAGCTCTGAGGATGTTCACTACAATGTCTGCTCGATTAGAGAAAAACTAGAGACAAATGCACAGCAAAAGATGATTAGTTAAATAAATTATGTTGCTGTCTACCAATACCATTCCAAACTCCAGCCCACTCAGCCGTTCTGTCTGACCGAAGGATGAGGGGGAAAATGGAGACCCACCAGTGAAGTTCATAATCTACAGGTACAAGTATCCTTAAAAGAAGACTGAGACCTAATAATAGGACCATAGAACTATAGAACACTTCCCTTCTTGCCAAACTACCCTATTATTAAAGGCCTATTTACAGCAGCTCCCTTTACCTGGTATATCATGGGGAACACCAAGAAAAGAAATATTTGGCACAATAACGTCAAGAACAAGGACAGGGAAAATTGCTAAGACATAGTTCAACACACACAGTGACTCCAAAAAGCACAGTAGTGGGAGAGAAGTCAAACTGCAGCCCTCATACTACACCTGGATTGTAAGACGGGCAGAAACAGTGACCCCTGAGAAAAATCATCTCACTCCACCCGTCCCCATTATTGCAGACCCAGATAGAGGTGTCTGGAAAGCTTAAAACAACGCAGCACTGCCCACAACCATTACTGGAAGAGGGGCAGAGCCACAGGTAATGAAATTGCCTCCATAGACCCACCCATCCTGGCAGAGCCTGGTAAAGAAAGCTGAGAGGCCCAGAGAAAAAATACTAAATAAACTGGAGGCAAGCAATCTACCATATATAGAGCTCAAAACAATGGTTATAAGGATGCTAAAGGGGTTACTAAGAACTACAACAAAGAGATAGCCAGCATATAAAAGAACATAGAAACCATAAAAAGAATCAGTCAGAAATGAAGAATACACTAGAAAGAAACAACAGCAGATTAGGTGAAGCAGAGGATCAAATCAGCAACTTAAAAGACAAAGTGGCAGAAAAACACTCAATAAAAGCAGCAAAAGAAAAATTAAAAATGAGAATAGTGCCCGGCTGCCATGGCTCAGCAGTTGAGCATCAACCTAGGATCCAGGCGATCAAGGTTCGGTTCCTGGTCAGGGCACATACCTGGCTTGAGGGCTGGATCCCAAGTGGGGGGCATGTGGGAAGGAGCCGATCAATGAGTCTCTCTCATCATTGATGTTTCCATCTCTCCTCTCTCTCCCTTCCTCTCTGAAATCAATAAAAAATATATTTAAAATATAAAAATATAAAAATTAAAATGAGGATAGTTTAA